AAATAGACAAAATTAGCGGATTATTAGCAATATAGCAAGAATAAATAAATAAATAAATAAATATCAGTTAATAGCATGAACTCGTAAGTACGTAGATGACTAAATAATACGTCTCAAACAGATTCGTGCGTATTGTCCTTTCCAAACCCTAAACAAACATCTGCTTGCATGGATAAAAGCACCTGAAATCAGAATTTACACCTTTCCACCACCTCTGCGTAGGAGCGTAATGCACGGCGCACACTCGGACCAAATCGATCAGTGATAGCCGAGCTCCTCTTTCACTCATTTGAAGGGAAATATGTGTTTTGAAGGCACACTGAAGTTTCCGAAGGTGTATCCTCACAATGGCACAGAAGGAGTCGATTTTTCGGGTGGGTCAGAGGGTAGCGCGTCTGTGACCCATCTAAAATATCTCCTGAACTAGCGGGTCTTCAGGAAAACTGTAAAGCTTATTGGAAAGAGAAAAGATAGGCGGTTTCAAGACGATTTTAATCCTGATGAAATTGCGTTCGAAATAAGTAATCCTCGTGTGAAGCATAAAAACCCGCTTGCCATTTACCCCTAGCCGATCCGAAACCCATCCGAAATATTTCACGAACGGGGAAACATTCAGATTGCAACTGGGTAGAAAACGCAACAGTAGGAACATTCCCGTTGCATGCTGCTAACCATTCATCAAAAGCCGCGCCCCTCAAAGAGATATAACCCCCCGAAAAGACCCCAGGACGTTGGCAGGCCCAACAACCGCGCTCCAATGACGTTTTTCCAATGAAAGCGGTCGCAACGTTGCGATCGATAATAGCCAAGTATAGAACGATATACTGCCGCCTGGTTATCCATTTTTTTCATTTGGCTCCGCATTTTTTTGTATTTTTCATGTTTCGCTTTGTTGTGTCGTGCATGTTTTCATGATTTCCCCGTCACCATTCATTGAATGCACATCTGGGGCCTGACACGCTGACCTTGGGGCTATTTTTTTCACCAATTTAGCTCATGATCACCATTAGTCGCTGTTTCGATTGTGTTCCTTGTTACAAGTTGCATGTCATACATGGTTGTCGAACGACGAGTTTTATTTTGAATCCTAAGACAAAAATTGTAGGTAATGCGAGGCTGTTGTTCAGCCTCATATTGCATGAGGCTGAAACAGCCTGGATTTTAGAGCAGAGTCCGCCTTTCGAAAATCCAGATTCCATTTCAGGAAGCCATTTGTGGTGAACATGCATCTGGTTGTCAGTTAGAGCAGGAGGGGAGGGTACTGAACCCTTTTCGAGGGGGAGGTCGTACTCACACCGCCATTTCGCGCATCCCCCTGCTGTACCCTGTTCAAAATTCTGATCACGAATACGAAGCCCATTTGGGGTGCCGGCACCACTTGGCGCCAATTTGCTATTTCCCCCTTTCCACAAAAGTCGAAACCTGCACACTGACGTTATTTGGCCTCATATTACGAACATGACATATATTCCTTGGTTTCGGCGCCAATTATTAATCCTTCGTATTTGAGTTTCAGCGTTAACGGGAGTGGGGCCCCATCCACTCATGTGATATTCACTTTTCGGCACGCAACGCCTACGTTAGCGATTCATCTGAGGCTCGAACCGCCAGAGGGAGCAGTTATTCTTTCGCCGAGCTTAACCTTAGCAGTGCGCATATGACTAATGTGCTCTAGCTTGGCGCTTGCGCTGAAAAATGTCACATTAGTGCTCCAACCACCCATTGACCTGAGTAGGCATTGTCCAGCAAAATGATTTTTTTGACACTTATTATGAATTAGTGTGAATAGTGCCTAAGCTTTTTATCCTTGTTCTACCTTCGAGTTGAGATCGTGTCCCTAAGCAGCGTTCATGCACTTGGTAGCGCTACAAGTGTCGCGCTAATATCCAGCGTAGCGCTACAGCGCCGCTTCGCAACGTACTGCTCTTTCCAACGTTAGGATGATTAGAGTTGCTTACAGAGAAAAGTGGGAAGGTTGCTGGAGTTTTCTTGAGAAATTCACGGAAAGAAGAGACTGATACAGCTGTAACTATCTGACGCCATCCTTGACAGTTCCATTAGTCACTATTTTTCTGGTACTGCTTTTAGCGTAACAGTGTCCTTCTGTCCTATTAAGAGCATTTTCTGCAAAAAAACACCCAAAGAGTACTCGCGCCACTAAAAACACGCACGAATGTTTTTTTTACCGGAGACACAAGAACCATAAAGGAACTTCGGCACTAATGAACTATTCGTACCCCAAAAACTCGAAAAAAATCTTTACCTATAGGTGTAATTCGCTGCCCTGATCACGAATATCTCATTCGTTTCGAGCGTTGGCACCATTTGCGCCATTAGCTCCGCATTTGGCGCCACGCACTTTTTTCAGCCCACAAAGTCGATGAAAACTTGCATCTAGGGATTAACCGACATCCCGATTACGGATATCACACTGGTTTTGAGCGCTGGCGCCATTTGGCGCCGTTATGCATTAATATGGCGCTAAATTGGCGCGTAATGGCGCCAAATGACGCCAGCGCCCGAAACAATGTGATATTACGCTGATCAGGGCATCGAATTGACGTATATGGCCAAAGTACGAGACTGTCAAGTAGGATAAAATTTTTCAGTTTCGGGGTAGGAGGATAGTTCAATAGTGCCGGACTTCTTGTTTGCCTTGTGTTAACTGCAAATTGGTGACCAGACAGTCTTCGCGTGCCTGTTGTGGGAGATAAGGCCATTTTTTTCTGCTGCCGACAAATGCGACTCAATACTGATACGCTCCTAGGCCAAAAAAAGTACAAGAAACTGTCAAAGGCTTTGTTGGCTGTGAATGCCTCGAAAACCGGCATAAATCTTTTTCTGTGATCCAGGCAGAGATTGGGGCAAACTCGAAAAGCAGACTCCATAATCGATAAGCGGCATTGGATTCTGTATTCATTCTTTCTGTATTCAACCCTCTTCTCTTTGTTTCTCATATTTATCTGATAGTGAGCTCCTGTTTTCTACTTTATCACATTTTAATGTAGTTTCGCAATCGGGATCAAAACGAGGCAGCACTGCAAGACATCAAGCAACTGTGAAACCAAATAACTAAAGTCAAAAACGATAAATAAAACCAATTATCACAGTCTTCTGTATCAAAAACTACATTAAAATGTGATAAAGTAGAAAACAGGAGCTCACTATCAGATAAATATGAGAAACAAAGAGAAGAGGTTGAATACAGAAAGAAAAAACATAAAAGCTGGAGTTCGGTACAACTGTAGCGCTACAGCTGTAGCGCGACGCTGTAGCGCTACAAGTCTGAACGCTGCCTAATGATCGTGACTTAAAATTGCCAGAAAAAAAAACATGGGAGAGGCAACTGAAAATCCGATCGCCTTTCTCACGTTAGTCGGTAGTTTTCACTTATGAAAATTTGGATCATTTCTCTCATTTGCGGGGTATAACAACGTACCAAGTTTTCAAGGTAGCCGACACATGTGCCGATATTGCGGAACTCGACAGGTATGACTCGCTAGTGCAACTTGCATTTGCCCATGTGAGTGTTATATTCTGTTCTAGTAATAAAATACATTGTGGTCGTTGCGGCATAGTATTTTTATTCAGAATTCTTATGTGACTCAATTAGAGTCAATGGGTTACCGGGTAGGATACGTGATGGCAGAACGGGTTTCCAGAGACGCGCCAAAGCTGCTGACTGAGCTGGAGGTAGGAGCCGGTAATTTTTGTACGTAACCATAGCATTCTATAGTGAATTTTGAATTTGAAACATGTAGTAGGCTGCTTTATATCCCGGCAGCGGGAAGGCATGCCTGCGCGCTGTTTCTGTGAGTACAGCGGCATATTTGTGTTTAGTTGAATTTAAGGGCAGGGAGAGTATAAGGTGTATCGACACTGTTGTGCCACTTTATGACTGAACCGGCGATTATCCAGCGCCGCTCTGCTCACATCCATGTTCTAGGACCGCCCTCCCCATCTCCAGGATTTGGACTCTGTGTATCACTTGCTTTGATAAAGGGTATGAATTGTAATGTAGCGTTTAGAATACGTAACTATGTGTCGCAAAAAAAATGAAAAATTCAGCGAACACATGATACTTCCATTCAGAATACATGGCAGATGTGGCTGTTTGAATGCTATACGACATATGCGGTTAGGCTGGGGCAGACCAACCGGTTCAGTGACAAAATTGCACAACAAAGCGTCGACACGCCTCTCATTCTTCCCTACCGTAAACTGCAGTCGTCCACAAATACGCCGATGCGGCACAAGTCAGTATACTTGTCCTCTCAGACAGGTTAGGTGGGCAGTTTTCTCCTGCCCCGGAGGGTGGAAAGCTTGGTTAACTCCGACGTGAGCCAAGGATTCTACTTTGAGCGTAGTGAGCGAAGCAACTTCCGCTATCCACCTCCGCCTTTTTGCCACTTCAACAGAGTCCCGCGCGCGCTCAAGCATTCCGTAGACTCCTTCCTTGTTCAAGTAGCCGGGTACGCAGTCTTTGAGACATTCGCGGCTTCAACGCCGCGGCCCCTCTGACGCCCCCCCCCCTCTTCCTGTCCTATGAACCGAAACTCAAAGGCTGTTTTAAGTTAAGAGTTAAGAGGAATTAGGTTTTCACATCGCGACAAAAAAAAACGCCGATGTGAAAGCCTAAATTCGCCTAAACTCCTTGAATTATAACAGCTTTGAGTTTCGGTTCATAGGACAGGAAGAGGGGGGGGCGTCAGAGGGGCCGCGGCGTTGAAGCCGCGAATGTCTCAAAGACTGCGTACCCGGCTACTTGAACAAGGAAGGAGTCTACGGAATGCTTGAGCGCGCGCGGGACTCTGTTGAAGTGGCAAAAAGGCGGAGGTGGATAGCGGAAGTTGCTTCGCTCACTACGCTCAAAGTAGAATCCTTGGCTCACGTCGGAGTTAACCAAGCTTTCCACCCTCCGGGGCAGGAGAAAACTGCCCACCTAACCTGTCTGAGAGGACAAGTATACTGACTTGTGCCGCATCGGCGTATTTGTGGACGACTGCAGTTTACGGTAGGGAAGAATGAGAGGCGTGTCGACGCTTTGTTGTGCAATTTTGTCACTGAACCGGTTGGTCTGCCCCAGCCTAACCGCATATGTCGTATAGCATTCAAACAGCCACATCTGCCATGTATTCTGAATGGAAGTATCATGTGTTCGCTGAATTTTTCATTTTTTTTGCGACACATAGTTACGTATTCTAAACGCTACATTACAATTCATACCCTTTATCAAAGCAAGTGATACACAGAGCCAAATCCTGGAATGGGGAGGCGGTTCTAGTAACATGGATTGGAGCAGAGCGGCGCTGGATAAGCGCCGGTTCACTCATAAAGGGCACAAACAGTGGTCGAAACACCTTATACTCTCCCTGCCTTGAATTCAACTAAACACAAATATGCCGCTGTACTCACAGAAACAGCGCGCAGGCATGCCTTCCCGCTGCCGGGATATAAAGCAGCCTACTACATGTTTCAAATTCAAAATCACCTAGAGAATCTATGGGTTTACGTACAAAAATTACTCGGCTCTACCTCCAGCTCAGTCAGCAGCTTTGGCGCGTCTCTGGAAACCCGTTCTGCCATCACGTATCCTACCCGGTAACCCATTGACTCTAATTGAGTCACATAAGAATTCTGAATAAAAATACTATGCCGCAACGACCACAATGTATTTTATTACTAGAACAGAATATAACACTCACATGGGCAAATGCAAGTTGCACTAGCGAGTCATACCTGTCGAGTTCCGCAATATCGGCACATGTGTCGGCTACCTTGAAAACTTGGTACGTTGTTATACCCCGCAAATGAGAGAAATGATCCAAATTTTCATAAGTGAAACACGGCTAAACGTGAGAACGGCGATCGATTTTCAAGTTGGCCTCTCCCAATGTTTTTTTTTTCTGGCGACTTTTAAGTCAAGATCATAGCAGCGTTCAGACTGTGGCGCGTACACCAGCAGCGGTCGCGCCTAGACAGCTGTCGGCCACAGTTGTAGCCGAATCTCTAGCTTTTATGTGTTACTCTGTATCAACCTCTTCTCTTTGTTCTCATATTTATCTGATAGTGAGCTCCTGTTTTCTACTTTATCACATATTAATCTAGTTTTTGATACAGAAGACTGTGATAATTGGTTTTGCTTATCGTTTTTGACTTTAGTTATTTGGTTTCACTGTTGCTTGATGTCTTGCAGTGCTGCCTCGTGTTAATCCCGATTGCGAAACTACATTAAAATGTGATAAAGTAGAAAACAGGAGCTCACAATCAGATATATATGAGAAGCAAAGAGAAAAGGGTTGAATACAGAAAGAATGAATACAGAATCCAGCGCCGCTTATCGATTATGGAGTCTGCTTTTCGGGTTTGCCCCAATCTCTGCCTGGATCACGAAAAAGATTTATGCCGGTTTTCGAGGCATTCACAGCCAACAAAGCCTTGACAGTTTCTTGTACTTTTTTGGCCTAGGAGCGTATCAGTATTGAGTCGCATTTGTCGGCAAGCAGAAAAAAAATGGCCTTATCTCCCACAACAGGC